TGTGAGGTGTTTTCTCTTTGCAGGAGCCCTTGCACCATAGATCAGTCAATCAACAAACACTGACTGGCCTGAAGGACTCTCCTGGGCCGCAGGAGGCTGAGGATACACCAGGGCCTCAGGGAGCGGTCAGCAGGGCCACCAGTCATGCAGCCGGTTCTGCCAGATATCCATCTGGCCCCATCCTTGCTGCAGAGGGTGGACGTGGGAATTGCAAAATGGCCTTGTGAAAGAGAGGGATACAGAGCCAGCCAGGAGGGCAGGGCCTGGGTCCCCTCCCTGCGGCCAGAGAAACACCTGCCCCTGGACTGGGGAGGTGGCTGCCTATTGGGCTCCAGGCTAGGACAGGAAGGGAGGGAGGGGCTTCGCCTTCGCCGGTAACCCGATCCTCAGGAATGTGGCGGGGCCAGACGCGCCCCCTACCCCAAGCCGGTGCCTCTCTTCTGGTCGCCCCGGGTCCTACCACCCAGGTTTCTGCCATCCCTGCCCTCTCCAGCCTAAGCTCCCTGGGACTGCCCCTACTAGCCCCACCCGGACCTGCGGGGTCCTGAGCACGGGGGACCATCCCCCGCTAGCCTCACCCCAGATCGACCCTCCACCTCACCCCTTTCAGCTTCCTGCTTAACTCCTTTTTTCCCGTTTTATTCAATAGATTTTAGGTTTCTGGGTCTTCAAATGAAAACCAAACATTAAACTGAGTTTCAGGAAGAGGCCAGAGCCGGGGTGATGGGGGTGGGTGGGCTCAGATTAAGACCCTATAGGGAATGGGGGGGCGGGGAGGACCAGCTGAGTTCTGGTAAGGTCGTGGACCCCCTCTGGACACTGCTCTAGGAAGTGGGATAATGACCCCAGACTTTGAAGCTGCTGGGAGAATAAAGATGAAAATATAGTCTGGAACAAATATCACCCACCCTAGTTTTAATATGTATATATTTTATTAATTTTTCACAGAGAGGGAGGGAGAGGGATAGAGAGTTAGAAACATCGATCAGCTACCTCCTACACGCCCCCCATTGGTACATACCCTTGACTGGAATGGAACCTGGGACCCCCTCAGTCCGCAGGCAGGCAGATGCTCTATCCACTGAGCCAAACCAGTTAGCGCGCCCACCCCCCCACTTTTGCTGGAGACTCTGCCCACCTCACTTTCCTTCTCTCCCTGTCTCTCTGGCTCCACCTTTCTCTGCCCTCCATCAATGTGCCCAACTGGCTTCTGCCCTAGGGCCTTTGCACTCGCTGTTCCCACTGTGACACTCTGCCCTTGATTATCTCCTGACTTGCTCCTTCATTCGGCATCACTTCCTGTGATTCCTCTCCCAGATCACTCAACTCTAAAAACATCCTCCTTTACCATCCATGGAAGAAGCACCATTTATCCTCCAGGAAGCTGTTTGTCACCTTCTTCCTTCGGAGCTTATGCTGGGCAGGTGGGGTTGTTTGTGTGTGTCCCACCACGGGGCTCACAGTAAGTGCTCAGTCACTGTACATGGAGTGAGTGAAGGAAGGAATGGTAGTTAAACCTACTTCACTGGAAAGGCTTGGTTGATGGACTTAGGGCCTCCTTGATCTGCCCAAGAAGTCCCCAGTCTCAGGGACAGATCTGGACACAGCCCCTCTTCCCAGCCCTGTGGGGTCAGGGCTGGCCCAAATGGAAGGGCAGGGCTGGGGTGTCCGAGAGAGCTCCCTGGCTGGAAGGAAGGAAATGGTAGGGGAGGGCATTGGGTCAGAAGGAAGTCTGGGGGTGAGGGGTCAGGCCTTAGAGAGTGGGGCTGGCAGAGTCTGCCACTGCACTTAGGAGCCAAGGTCCTCCCCTCCCGTTTGGGGTATGTAGAGCCAGACACAAATGGTGGACAGAGTTCGGACAGATGGAAGGGGTCTAGGGAAGTCCCCAGGGGCATGGCTTGGTTAAAGAAGGCTTCTTGGAGGAAGGAAGTGGGTTTTGAAGGATATGTAGGAGTTTGCCTGGAGGCTAAGGAAGAGCATTCCAGGTTAAGGAAACTCTAGACAAAAAAACAGCCGTTAAATTTAGCTGCATAATAATAAAATAAAACAATGATAGAGAGGACATTTGTTGAGCCTACACTATTTCTGCAAATCCAGTAAAAATCCCCACACACCATGAGATAGCAGGATTATTTGCTCCGTTTTCATGAAGCAGAGAGATAACCTGCCTTGGCCTCCCTATGCCTCCATTTCTCAAGGCCTGTCTGCTGGTGAGTATTTCAGCTCAGGCCGGCTCAGCCCACAGTTCATTCACCTACCTGATAGATCCTCCCTTCCTCCTGCATCAGACATTCCTGAGCACTGAACCACCAATCAGCACCTACCAAATACCCAAGGCCCCTACGTACCTAATCCTAGGCCTTACATGAAACCACCAATCAGCGTGTGCTGAGGGCCCTAAGCCCCTCCCCTCCCCTTAAAAAGTGCTTATACTCCAGCTCTCTCTTTCTCTCTCCCCCTCGCCTTCCCCCTCTCTCCCCCACCCCTCTGGAAGCAGCCGGCAATGGTACTCTTCTCTTCAATAAAGCCTGTGTCCTGCATCCCGGTCTCCGGCCCCTTCTCTATTTCATCTTTTAGAACTTACTAAGGTTAAAAAAAAAAAAGGAAAAAGTTCCGGACCCACGGTCCAGGTGGAGCCTCCCTAGGCCACCCAGTCACTCTCCTGCCTTGGAGGGAAGCATGGTCCCCTCTCTTCCAGTTTTGCCCCGGAGAGGGGTCCCAGGACAGGGCTGGCGACAGGTTTGGCCTGTAATCCTTTCCAACTGGGGTCCCTTCATGCCCAGGCTGGGACCCAAGAGGACAGGTCAAGAGGGCACAGAAACTTACACGCCTGGAAACAGACACGCATATACACAAGGTACCCTGCTCCACACATGCACACACACATACAAGCACAGGTAGACAAGTGTGTACACAGACACACCTCCACATGCCTGGCCCTCTGCCTGCCAGGCCAGTCCAGGCTTCTTGCTCATAATCACAGTCCCACCCTTAGCCTTTCTGCTCCACAGCCGTTAAGGGCAGGGCCAGGTGAGAAAGGGAGTTGGAGGGGGAGGGGGGAGTGGTGGGGAGGAGGGAGTGCTGCTCTTGCCCACAGGCCAGTCACACAACCAAGGCCAGAGACTGCCACAGCAAACCCAACCAGGTAGTGTTCTCCTTCAACATTCTGCATCCATGCCGGGACCGGTTTGGCTCAATGGATAGAGCGTCGGCTTGGGGACTGACGGGTCCCGGGTTCGATTCCGGTCAAGGGCATGTACCTTGGTTGCGGGCATATCCCCAGTAGGGGGTGTGCAAGAGGCAGCTGATCGATGACTCTCTCTCATCGATGTTTCTAACTCTCTATCTCTCTCCCTTCCTCTCTGTATAAAATCAATAAAAATTTTACAAAAAAAAAAAAAAAACATTCTGCATCCACTGTGTGCTAGGCAGGCCCTGTGCAGGGAGCTGGGGAACGGCCAGGCCCAGGATAGACAAGGATCTTATCTTCTTGAGCCGTATGACCCATTCCATCTGGATAATTCCAAGGAAATGAGAACCAGGTGAGGAGAAAGGGTCTCTCTGAGGACATACTTGTGCACTGGGCCAAGGAATCACCAGAGGGCATAGCAGGTACAGAACTCCCGGGGCAGTGATGATCTGGGAAGCCAAGTTTCAGAGAGGGTAAGGGTGAAAGGTCAGAGGAGGAAGAATGGGTGTGAACTCAGAGCCTCCACCAGCCGGCTGAGAAGTGGGTTTCCTCCTGAGTGGGGTAGGACCCAAGGAAAGGTTGTATGCAAGGGCTGTCTGTCAGACTCAGCTATCCCAAGGATCCTGGGGAGTGTTGGGGAGTTGTTCCCTCCCCCCTCCCTTCTCCCTCATATCCCATCCCCAGCCAGCCTTTAGGGCGGCTCATGAAGCCCTAACAGTCATGATAATGGTAATAAGCAGGTAATAATTACCAGCTGGGATAAGAGCCCAAGCAGGGCTAAAGGGAGAAACGGGGGGGGGGGGGGGGGGGGGAGGAAAAACTGTAGGGCACCCTAACCGGAGGAGCCATAGCAGGCCTTGGCAGACAAAGAGTTAAAATGTATGCGGCTGCCCCGGGGCATGGGCGCCCGGGTTCTACGGGCTGGTCACTCGCTGAGCTGGATTCGCATGGACGCCGTGCGTTAGAGGGCTTCCAGTGAAAGATATTAAGATCAAAGCGCGTCCAGCAATTTTTGGCAGCCCTCCTTTCCCCTCCTCTGTCTTTCTGAAGGCACACACACCACCGGGCATTGGAGTGAGGGTGGGTGAAGGCAGACTTGGCTCACATCTCCGGCGAGTCACTGGCCACCGCTCCCCCATCCCTTCAGGCTCCAGAGCGCACAAAGCCTGGCCGAGACGCGCGAGGGAACCGCCGTCTGCGCAGTGGATCGGGAGGCGCCAGGGAGTTATTTATCCATCTGGGACCTCATATCCCCCACCCCCGTTCCCCGGGACCAGCACCGCCCCCGCCGATCTGGCCCCACGCGCAGACGCGGGGCGGGGCTTTGGAGCAGGCGGGCGCCGGGTGGCCGAGCCTATCACGCCACCCCGGACGTGCCTTGGCGGGAGGCGGCGCCGGGGGCCTTCGCTGTACACAGAGATCCCGGGGCGGGGTGACCCGGCCCAGACGCGCGGCCCACCCCCATGACGTCAACCCACAAGGCAGCGCGCTGTTGTGCCGTTTACCGCGCGTCACCGGGGCAACGGCAGCCGGGGGAGCGTCGACGGCCTGGCCCCGCCCCTCTATGTAAATGATATACGTCATCCGCGCCCAATGGCGAGCGGGGGCAATGAGCTCATCGCGCTGGGCCGAGGCTATAAGAAGGCGCGCGGGTTGCGCGGCGCAGGAGCCGCCGCCAACGGAGGGCCGGGCGCAGCGGCCGCAGCCTGGGCGGGCTCAGGGCCAAGCGCACGGGGGGGGGGCCCGAGCCTCTCGGGAGGCCGCGGCCACTCCCCTCCCCCCCGGACCGGCGCGGCGGGGGAGGCGGAGGATGGAAACACCCTTCTACGGCGATGAGGCGCTAAGCGGCCTGGGCGGCGGCGTCAGTGGCAGTGGCGGCGGCGGCAGCTTCGCGTCCTCGGGTCGCCTGTTCCCCGGGGCGCCCCCGACGGCAGCGGCCAGCAGTATGATGAAGAAGGATGCGCTGACGCTGGGCCTGAGCGAGCAGGTGGCAGCGGCGCTCAAGCCCGCGGCCGCGCCGCCCCCGGCCCCCCTGCGCACCGACGGCGCCCCTGGCGCGGCGACCCCCGACGTCCTGCTCGCCTCGCCGGACCTGGGGCTGCTCAAGCTCGCCTCGCCGGAACTCGAACGCCTCATCATCCAGTCCAACGGGCTGGTCACCACCACGCCGACGAGCACGCAATTCCTCTACCCCAAGGTGGCGGCCAGCGAGGAGCAGGAATTCGCCGAGGGCTTCGTCAAGGCCCTGGAGGACTTACATAAGCAGAACCAGCTGGGTGCGGGCGCAGCCTCCGCCGCGGCGGCGGCCGGGGGACCCTCGGGCACGGCCCCGAGCGCCGCGCCTCCGGGCGAGCTGGCCACGGCGGCGGCCACGCCCGAGGCGCCGGTCTACGCGAACCTGAGCAGCTACGCGGGCAGCACCGGGGGCGCGGGGGGCGCCGCGGCGGTCGCCTTCGCCGCCGAGCCCGTGCCCTTCCCGCCGCCGCCCCCGGGCGCGCTGGGGCCGCCGCGCCTCGCCGCGCTCAAGGATGAGCCGCAGACCGTGCCCGACGTGCCGAGCTTCGGCGAGAGCCCGCCGCTGTCGCCCATCGACATGGACACTCAAGAGCGCATCAAAGCGGAGCGCAAGCGGCTACGCAACCGCATCGCCGCCTCCAAGTGCCGGAAGCGCAAGCTGGAGCGCATCTCGCGCCTCGAGGAGAAGGTGAAGACGCTCAAGAGCCAGAACACGGAGCTGGCGTCCACCGCGAGCCTGCTGCGCGAGCAGGTGGCGCAACTCAAGCAGAAGGTCCTCAGCCACGTCAACAGCGGCTGCCAGCTGCTGCCGCAACACCAGGTGTCCGCGTACTGAGCCCGGCGCGGGGCGCATGCGCGGCCCCCCTCCGCGAGAGGCGGGCTCGCGTGGGAGGGGGCGTGGGGGCCCCCCCGGACTCGGAGAGGGCGTGGCCCCGGGGGCGCCCCGGATGGTGCCAGGACGTGGAGAGGGCGCCTCGCCGTCGACAAGCTGGAACCCCTGCCGCCGGGGGGCCGGCGCATGACCCCCGCCCCTCCCTCCCTCACGCCGCCTCTGCCCTCCGCGCGTGGCATCCCGCGCTGCACAAACCCGCGCGCCCGGCCGCCCCTTTGTGCGCGCCGCCGCCGAGGAGGGCTCCGAGGGGGCGCAGCCTGAAGCCCTGCGTTGCCTTTTCTTTTACTTTTTTTTTTTTTTTTTTTGCATTTGGAAGAGAGAACAGTGTTCGATTCTGCCCTATTTATGTTTCTACTCGGGAACAAACGTTGGTTGTGTGCGTGTGTGTTTTTTTGTGTTGGTTTTTTTTTTTTTTTTTTTTTTTTAAGAAATAGGAAGAAGAAAACTCCTCCTCCCTTTCCTTGCTTTCTGCGCCCGCCCCCTCCGTTCTTCCGACAGACGCCCTCCCACCTCTCCTCCCGCCCTGTTGGCTTCTTTCTTTTCCCCTTTTCAGTTTTGTTTTGCTACGAGTCTACATTCCTGTTTGTAATATTTGGTTCGCCGGTTTTCTGTTTTCAGTAAAGTCTCCTTATGCCAGCTCGGCTCTCCGCCTCCTCCTTCCCCCGCCGGGGCCTGACTGGCTGTGCAGGGCCGGGCCCGCTCCCCTCCCCCGCGCTCCCTCCTCCTCCCGCCCGGCCGGGGGAGCCGGCGCCGGGAGGGGCCGCGCGCTGGCGCGGGGCGAGCGCCATCTAGGCGCGCTGGGCGCCGGGCCGGCTGCCGTCCGAGCTGGGCGGGGGCGCCGCTGGAGACTCCAGTGATTGGAACCAGCGAGCTCTCGGGTTGGGAAGGGGACAGCCCCGCCTGAGGTAGGAAGAAAGAGGCAGGAACTTGGACTTTCTGGGCCTGTGTTTCCCCGTTTGTGAAACGGACAGAACGATCGCATACCTCCATAAAATGGTGAAAATTGAGTTTGTTTACAGAGCATTGTGTGGCTTACAGTCTGCTCTGTTTGTTTATTATTGATGAGGGGCTGGAGGACCTGAGTCTTGGGGCCACAGGGATCTGAGCCAGGAGGTCTTTATCTAGATGTGGAGGTGGGGTACTTTGTGCAGGACCTCCCTTTTATGGGTCCAGGATTTTCCAAATACTTCCTGAAAGCACCTCCCCCAACATTATATTCTCCCGTTTTGAGGAAACTTAAGTTTTAGAGGGGTTGAGTGACCGGTTTCTGAGATCACACAGCCTTTTTGTTAATCCTCACCTGATGATACCCCCCTCCCTTTTTTTTTTTCTTTTTTAAGAGACATTGTCTCCACATCAGCTGACCTGGACCTGGGCTCATACCTGCAACCAGGTATGTAGCCTGAGACCCTTAGGTGAGCAGCTGGCACTGACCACTGAGCACACAGGCCAGGACCTCAGCCTTTTAAGAAGACTCTACAGGGCCATTTGGACCTGGGTTTCTCACCCCCAGAGCCCTGACTGCCAGGCTGCGCTCTTCCCTGGCCTCAGCTAGGCTTTGCTATTGTGAGAGACCTGGGCTTGGGCGTCTGCCTTGGGGCCCCAAGGGGATGGAGCATTAGTGGCCCCGGACACAGGGCAAGCTGGACTGGTAGTGTGTGTTGGACACTGACTCGACCCAGCCCTGCTCGGAAGGTGACTGAATTGTGCCTGATTTACAGGTACAAAGGAGTGGCATATGCCCACAGCCCCAGCCGTGGAAGAGGTGTGCCTCACCATCTACACGTCCCCTCCGGCCCCTGCTCACCCTGCCTGCCTGTGAGGCTTCAAGAGCTGCTTTGGGTTTGGTTTTACCATGTGACTTGCCCTGGCACCACCTCTGGCAGACATTTCCAGAGGGGCGCCAGAGCGAGAAGAGGTGGTGTGTTGACACAAAGTAGACCAACAGCCATGCTTTGAGGGTGCCCGTTTGCCATCTTGTCATCTCAGCCCAGTCTCCCCACGTTGGCCTTTACCTGAGGAGCTGATGTGGGCGTGTTCACATCCAGGCAGCACCTCCCAGGGCAGGATGGGGGCTGAACAACAGGGACACAGCTGATAGCAAGGAGGTCTAGGGAGGTTGCGAGATTTGCCTGAATTGTTTCCTCACACTTCTGATGACAATTGTATTTTGTTTTTCCCTACACTAACCAGTTCTCCCGCTCTCCAGACACCAGCCGGTTCCCTCCCGTTTAGTTCTGACACTTTACCCGGAGTTGGCACGGACCCCACAGGTGAAGGGCTCCGTCCCACAAAACTGCCCCCGCTACAGACACCAGCCCCGACTCAGGCTGCCGCCTGCACTTCTGACCCATCAGCTATCGGTTGGAGGCTTCCACCACTACATCCTCCGATTTGATCATTCGCTGGGACAGCTCACAGGGCCCAGGAAAGGGCTTCCCTGACTGGTTTAGGGATTATAAAGGATACAACTCCGGAGCAGCCAGATGGAAGAGATGCACAGGGCACTGAGCTCCTGTGTGTGCCCCCTCTGGGCTGCCACCCTCCAGCGCTCCCATGTCCTCACCAACCAGAAAGCTCTCTGGAGCCCCAGGAGGTTCCATGGTATAAGCACAACTGATTTCATCTTTGGTCTTTGGTGATTAATTCAGTCTCCAGCCTCCCCCCCTCCCAGAAGGTTTGAAAGGTGGGGCTGAAAGTCCCAACCCACTAATTAAGCCGAATCCTTCTGGAGACCAATCTGCAGCTGGACTCTGGCTCTGGCGAGGCCCAGCGGAGGCCCCCGGGCCTGGCTGTTGTGGCTTTGGCGGGACCCTGCTGAGCGGAGGCCAAGGTGTGTGTCAGCCTCAGCCCTGCCAGCAGTGATTCATTCACACCAGGCCTCGGCCGGCCTAGCCCCAGGAGGTGCCTGGGGATGGCAGCTTTGCCTCCTTCGCCAAGACTGTGGCTAAGAGTCAGTGCCCAGCCGAAACCGGTTTGGCTCAGCGGATAGAGCGTCAGCCTGCGGACTGAAAGGTCCCAGGTTCGATTCTGGTCAAGGGCATGTTCCTTGGTTGCGGACACATCCCCAGTGGGGGGTGTGCAGGAGGCAGCTGCTCGGTGTTTCTATCTCTCTCTGTAAAAAATCAATAATAATTTTTTAAAAAGTCAATGCCCATTTCCATAAGGCCGTGTGTGGATCCCAAGGGGCTTTGGGCCCAGCCCCATCCTAAGCAGCCTTTGTCCTCAGAGCCAGACACAGACACCAGCTTGCTTTCTTTCTTTTTTAATATATTTTATTGATTTTTTACAGAGAGGAAGAGAGAGGGATAGAGAGTCAGAAACATCGATGAGAGAGAAACGTCGACCAGCTGCCTCCTGCACACCACCTACTCGGGATGTGCCCGCCACCAAGGTAGGTACATGCCCTTGACCGGAATCGAACCCGGGACCTTTTCAGTCCGCAGGCCGACGCTCCATCCACTGAGCCAAACCGGTCCCGGCGCCACCAGCTTGCTTTCTGAGAAGAAACCCCACCAGTGTGGCTCAGCCGTTGAGTGTCAACCTATGGACCAGGAGGTCACGGCTCATCTCTCGGTCAGGTCACATGCCCAGGTTGCAGTTGTGGGCTCCATCCCCAGTTGGGGGCTTGCACGAGGCAGCCAATCAATGATCCTCTCATCATTGATGTTTATCTCTCTCTCTCTCCCTCTCTGAAATCAATAAAAATGTATTAAAAAGAAGAAAGTCAGAGTTTTCTTTGTTTTAAACCCTCATGGCTCCTAGGTGCCTTCTTAATAAAACCCGAACGACCCTACTCCTCTCCTAGGCCCCAGCTATGACCCCTCCCGGCCCCCTTCTCTCTCCCTTACCTCCGAATCAGCTTCCTCTCTTCCCTCCTTATGCCCAGCTTGCTGCGCTGTGCCTTCCGCCTGAAACACCCTTCTCCCAGTTTGGGCAGGACCAACTCCTCCCCTGTGGGTCACCCATCCCACCCGTCTTTGATTCCTTCCTGACGTTCACAGCCCCAGGTTACTTGGGTTGTGTCCCCAGACTCGGATCAGATCTCGGCCCAAACTAGGTGCTCAGCTAACGCCCAAGGGACAGGCTATTTCAGACGCATGGAGGTGGAGCTGGGTCACTTCTGTGGTCAGAGCCCGAACGTCTGCTCAGGATGGGCTGGTATCAGCCAGCCCGACTCTGGGCTCTGACCCAGGTCCTGCCCGCCTCCTCCTGAGTCTGCCTCCTAGAGCCCCCTCCTCCTGGAAGCTGGCGTTGATTGGCCGGAACGTGGCTGTGAGTCACAAAGCCTGCCTGACACCAAGGCCGCGAGCTTGGGCATTCAGGCTGTTGGGCTCAGCTTCAGGGGCAGGTGAGTGGAGCTTTTGGAGGGCTGAGGGGGGTACATGGGGACCTGATCATTCTTCCCTGGTCCCCAGTGTCCCCCGAGTCCCCTTGGGCCTTCCAGGCCTCTCGGAGGAGGGATCAGCCCGCCTGCCCCTCAGAGCAGAGCGAGCACTGAAGTCCCCCAAGGCCTGGTGGTGGGTTTTCTGCCCGGAGGCCCAGCCTGGAGAGTCTGCCACGTCTTGGGAGCCTAGCAAAGTGTGACACAGGCAAACTGAGGCTCAGAGGGTTTACTCAGAATTGCCAAGGCAGCCACTCAGCTTGTATGTTTGGGGGTCCTATTCTCCCCTGTACTCCCCTTTCTCTTACTCTGTTGTCTGGTTGAATTCCCCCAAAAGGTTGGACCATGTATTTGCTAAAACTCCAGGATGGTCCCTGGGATGGACCAGTTCAGACCTTAAAGCTGCCAAGTCCAAGTTTTGAAGGTTGGATTCCATCCATCCATCCATCCATCCATCCATCCATCCATCCAGTTCCTGTATCTATTCATCTATCCATCCTGTCCATCTATGCATGCATCCATCTGTACACATCTAGTAAGCACTTTGTGGGCTGTTCTA